ATGCTAAATGTTCCACGACGCTTCTGTGTTCAAACCAGAAAAGCTCGAAATAACTCGACATTTGACTCGGCATATTTTGATCTTGCAAAATCTCTTAACCATTAGAATTAATTCGCTGTTACGATTGAGCATGTTGAATGGGACTTAGGTAAATGGAAATTGTGCTATTACACCAAAGCACATAAGGTTGTTAAACATAAGGACCGAGTATAGTTTTGATGGATACAGTATAAACGACATAATACTATAAGAAGATAAACAATATAAACGAACAGATGTACTTTTGCATAATATGTGCCCCAACTGGCCTTCTTGACGCACAGGAGCAACTAAATTTACGTGGGCATAACCGCGAAGTACACGTGTTAAACGTTCACGTTTAGTATTCACACCCGGCCGAAAATCTGGGCATTTCGGTGCGCTTTTATATCGTAATCGAACGGTCATGCTGTATCTGGTGTGCGCGCTACTTAGCGGTGGGCTTTTTCAGAAAATATTGACAGTCACAAAACTAAATTCCTTTTTTCTGCCAATATTATTTTGAAGCAAATGAATCCGTTGATATTTATGGCCACTCGATGATTACTTCAAGTTGCAACTTCTTTGGCATAAAACTAAAGGTTCTTTTTATCGTTGGGAAGCCAAACTTTATTTGGATTTGCAGAAAAAAATATGAAATTAATTAAGATTAGTAGTAACATCATGTGGGATGAAATTTTCCGTGCGGGGAGAAACGTCACGCATTTCTAGCGAGGCCATTTTTAGCGAAAGCGTATTTAGCTGTGTTATTGTAATTTAGTCCAGTTAAAACTTTTTCCCTCGTGAATTTCCGCTACATCCGTTGCATCAGTTCAGCTAAAAAAAAGACTTCAAATGGAGCGACGAGTGCTTAAACTACTCGTCTTACAAATTTGCATACTTCTTTCTGGCTCATAAAGCCATTGTCGTTTTATTGCGTAATGGGCGGTAGTTTACCCTTACCTCAAGCTTAACAGGTAGACCTTCTTGTTGAAAAAAGTGTTTTGTCGATATCTACCCACCCTTGCTCTTCGCCAAGGCCGGAAAGCTGCTGTAGCAACGTGGAATATTTACGCCATGCCTGAGGGAGTTGTTCGAAGATGATTAGTAAAGTTTATTAATGGCATCTTGAGGCTGCAGGATTCAGCCCGCCCGAGGTCAGCTATCCACACTCGATGAGAACCGTCAAAAAGGCACTTTTGAAGGACGATAGTAGGTCAGCATTAGTGAACTAGCCGAGAAGGTAAACTGCATTCACGTCGCTATGGTCGACCCTCTGGAATCTGTGAAATTTAATTAAAAATTGAAAGGTCGCTTGGCTTACGGAGTGAACAGAGGTTACAGAGAAACAGCTTCTAAATTACTTTCGGCGTATTTGCTGGTATCGGGCAACAATAATCTACACAGCAATTGTTGCGGGTGGCGAGAAAAAATGTCCCTTCGTGACGTGAAGCAGAAAAAGGAATGGATAGTTACGAAAGGTACATATAAGCTTGGAGTTAAGGCAGGCTTCCACGCATGATTGACATTTAGTGGGATCCTAGGGGCCCTACGCGCCGGGAACAGCTTGAAAAAAACAGGACCATCAACATAAATCTGTGCACAGCATCAAGTGAAGGACACTTGAATAAAAAGATTACAGCGAAGCAATTTTTTTTTTTTACCACGATAACGCTAAATCATATATGTTAGAGGTCGCTCAGCAAAAGTTTGAATGAGAGCGTAGCCATTCTATTCTCGTACTTCCATAATTTATATATTAATCGTTGTTATTCACGTATAAATAAAATACATATATATATCTTCTTACATCATCGGCGCTACAGGCCTACGATTATATACCAAGTTCATGAATTAACAATACAATAAGTTTAATTTGACTGTTTCTTCTTCAGATGCTAAAATTTTTATTAAATAAATTCTTGATTTCAAGTAGGCTCCTGGACATACGTTTCTATTTTCTCTCTAATTTTTACAAATTATAGATTGAAAATCAGTATAATTTGAACCACGAAAAACTGTACACTGTCACGCGAAAAGCAGGAATAAATAAATCAGCCATTGTTAGTACGCAGTTAGTCCATGACATTTTTGGGAAATCAAATACTCGCCATCATACCGTAAACAAACAGGCACATGCCAAGAAAAAAGAATATGCCCTTTTAAAGCAGGAGTCCTCGTTTTTAGGTTCGAACAGTGGCCCGTTAGTGAAACGTAGTCGGGTTCTATACCGTTGTCCGTCGAGGCCCAAGCGGATAAAGTTTCAAGGTAGTCTGAGCTCGGCTCCTTATTTACAACCATCGAATCTGTCGTTCGCCTGTTGCTAAGCCGGATTTAAAAATGGACTTTAAAAAAGACTTGGCCATCCACCTTAATCTCCTTCTTTTCCATTCCGTTTTCTCCACACGTGCAAAGGATATCCGGCTAAAAAACCAGACCTTTTTGCCTTCGAACTTAACAGAATCGAATCTGACTTATAATTGAGCGCAACTAAACAAGGCTTAGACATCGCAGAGGATTGAGGACGACGTCCCTTCACCTGTTTTTCGTTGGCACCCACAAAACGATTCATATGTCTCTGACGTCGGCGGTTTCTGCCATAGACTGTGGTTGTCCGCGCTGGCAGCGGATAGCGTTTATTATTTCGTTTTCAGTACAATCACTTTATCCTAAAATGTTACCTAATAGCTGAAACTGAAATGAGGTCGATAGGGGCCTAATTCGTTAAAGGATCTATTATTATCTGATATGGATACATCAAAAACTCAACAGGGTAAAATAACTGAATGTAGCCCTGTGAAATAACCTAAGGGTTGTTGAAAATTGGCATATATTTCTGTGCCGTAAACCTTTAAAGTATTAGAACATTCCTTCCCTCAGAGCGTTCCTGCATTTTTACGTCACGATAAGTGAATTTCAAAAGTTAAATAATTAAAAAAAAAAAAGCTAAAAAATAAAATTGACAAGTTCTGAATCGTTCTTTTGTTATGAATGTTATTATTCTAATTCATGCGTTCTATGAATCATGAAGTCATATATTATCAACTTAGTTTGTTTATTACAGATAACAACTTCTATTATTAATCGCTTGGATGTGAAAGGCAGACATACTGAGACGGTTTGTATACGCTAGACAGGACGCGCCAAACCATAATAGAAAAAAAATACACTAGAATTGTATATAATACATATACAACTTACATATATAGTGTATGTGATACATATATATACACTAGAGATATAGGGGGGGGGGTTCCAGAACCTTATATTTAGCCTAAAGCTACTTGTTCTACACGAAACATAGTAAAGAAAATTACTGTATTGGCTTATGCAAGAGAGCATAACCTCATAAATATCAAAAATTAATAAAGTCCTACTTTGACGGCTGATTATTCATAACTAAGCTAATTATTTTGTATCTTCCTAGGCTCCGCTATAATAGCTGTTTTCTACGAGTAAGCAAGAAACATAAAAACACTAGCTGAAGTCGACTGAACCCGATTTAAACCAGGTTTCCGGTTTAACAAATCCCCTGAAGCACGACACTGGACAAAATTTGAGTGATCTGTCCATATGTGATTAGGTAATAGTTACCTAGTAATTTCTTTTGTTTACAAGGGTGGGAAGAACTAGACCTAGCTGTCAAGTGACTTCAGAAGACTTCGCAGCCAATCTTACCGACGCCAATTGTCTCACAGTACAGATCTTGCCTGTACGTAACGTTCCATGGCATTTTACAAACTACATGGATTTTTGACGGTGGGTCTTTTTGTGTTTGCTCACACGTGTTGTTACACAAACTCAGATTCAATACACGCTTGTATATAAAATCAACGGTCGCCTATCTTACACGCGGAATTCTTACGCGCCGGTCGTACTTCTTTGGCAATGTGCTTCTTTTTTCGTAGATTGTAGGCTGTATTTAAAGTAAAACAACTCTATTACCCTGACAGAGACCTGAAGATCAATTGGTATTGAAAAAAAATATATAGAGCAATTCAGTATGGCTAGACGTTATTTTTTTTCTCCTATATATTAATATAAAGCACCTAACGTGGTAAAGCTAGATAAAATAGCATATTTTAGGAAAGTGCCAGATCTTTACTACTAGTGTGTAGAAAGCGTTGTGACAGTGTATAAAATAAGATGGCACAATCTGGATGAAAAGAACGTATTTGTTTTTAGGTCTCTCAAGGATTCTCAAGCAATATATATTGAGCACTGTAGATACGCAGACGTCTAGACGATCTATACAAAAAACACAATCCGTCTTCCGCTGGCATTTGTTTTCTAAGCTCCTTAGGTCTCTAGGCGCCTATACTCCCTCAATGGAAACACTAGGGGACCAGTTTCAAGTGTATTGACTGCTTGAGCGTTACAACCGTCGTGATAATTAAGCTCAACGGCGCGGTGAGTTGAAATTGAGAACATGGATCATGTGAAAATGTGCCAAGTTTCAGCTGAGTATTGAACCCTATACCCCGTTGCTAAACGGCTCGTTATCGAACTAGTCGGTGATGTTGCCACATCAGTAGTCATGTTTGGTTTTAGAGCGTCAACTATTCCTTAACGTAACAATTTTTATATAGAGTTTTACCAAATGCACAGGTGACAAAAATATTACGGCTGGATTCTATGAGTCTCTTTTTTCTGTCCCTCCTTTCAATGGAAGCTTCTCACGATTTGGTAGGCGTGTTTCTAACTTGCTGGACCCGTAACATTTGAGCATGTAGCTGCATATATATCGTATTAGCGAAGATCGAACCTAGGCGAAGAACGATCAGTCGCTTTGGCATGACGGCCTGGCCCAGGCGCATTTTTCAGTTCGAAGCGGTTCGCTTATTAGCTAGCTTTGCCGTTATGTTCTGCACAGTGAGTTAGTTTCTTTTGTCTTCCCGTGTGGATGTTTTATTGGAAGTTCGAGCGACCACTAAGTTGTTTGACAAATGCTGCGAAGTGAATTAACAATTTACGTCTATTGATTGACATCTCTACTTACTGTAACACAAACGAGGTTCAATATCACAAACGAAATTTCATTTATTTATTATCATAATCCATAACATTCTGCGTGTTATCTTAGCGTAATTATTATTTTTGATATTAGTTTTATGTCCATATGTTTTGCCATCTATCGCTCGTTTAATAACACAATAAACATTTTGTACAACTGTATCCGTCGACCGCGCGTGTTCAAATATTATTATATCGTACAATCCTCTTTCTGTTTTCATCTTTCTCATCATCATCATCGTCGTCGTCATGATTTTCATTTTCGTAACAGTCACTGTTGTTGTATCATCATGGTCATCATTTATTACTTAATCGTTATATTATAACATGCGTCATTTTTCTTGTTACCATCGAATTAGTAATTGTCCGATTACAAAAACATTATCGTCGCCATATATGTATTGTTAATAATAGTATTTATATGCGCGTGCACAAATATGCCAATTTTGTGTATATTTGTGTGTATTCATACATATCATACGTGGAAGTGGACAGTTGATTCGTTGTGTGTTCATATATATCCCAGTGTATTGATATCTCGGTAGAGAGATCGTGATAGAGGATCGATTTGGTCTTTCTCTTTCCTGGTGTACAACTACCCCTCGCTACTTCAGTTCCAATAACCTCATTCAATCTAATCAGAGTCGTCGTCCTGCTCCAGTCTTAGGCTGTTTTCGATAACGGGCTCCCAAATGAATTTTCCAAATCGACGAATTGTTGGCGGTTATCTTCAACAACGTCACTAGGAGCTACTACCTGTACTGTTTCCAAAGCCGGCTCGATCTGTCGCTGTGTATAGTAGCTTCGTCAAGTAATGCATTCCGCATGCGCTTTCGCGGTTTCTACGGCATGCGTGAGGTTGAAAAACTTCCCCATCGTCACAGTCAATATGAATTTGGGCTTATCGGTATCTTTGCTAGCTAACAACAACAACAACAACAAAAAAACAGGTGAGCTCTATTTCTTCTACAAGAACGAATCGCCCCTTGCCCCCAGGTAACAACGAACGATAACACACATATCCGTAATTTGTTCAAAATTTTCCCCGGTGTATTTACTATGGCCCTGTCCGATCGTTGCATAGTTTGTTATAATAGCAAAGTAACGATGTTAATGGCGTCTCCCCAAGCAGAACTACTTTGATCCCAATTCAGTCAACGATTTCTGCCGTCGTCATTATTCTCTAAGCAGTTGTTTCTACGATACAACTGCGCCTGCCTTATATCCGAATGAGCATTTTTTTGCTTTCCCTCATTTTTATCTCTTGCTAATTGACATACTCAATAACGACAGAGAGTGCATACATTGGCGGATCAGATCTTGCCGAAAACGCAGATAACATACTGACTTCTATTCGGCCCTGAACGTATAGTTTAACGACAGTTGATCCGCTGCAGATGTGCCCAGTCGGATCGATATTGCCGCGTTGATGTTTTTCCGTTCTTCTACTATGTTTGTTGGTCATACCGACCTGTGTAACGATACGATTATGATATCTGATTTATACTGGTTTTGACTGATAACATTGTTCAGTTAATTAACCCTAATAGACACTAGTTTTTTTTCCCTAGTTATTGTCAACGCGACGGGAAGCTTAAGCAGTATGTCTCACGTACCTCTTCCGGACCTACGTCATCTGTCCAAAGCTCTGTTATGGTCGTTGTTTACGGCATGGCCATTGCTGTGTTAGATCGAGCGAAGTTAATGCGTATGTGCATCGTTCTACGTCCGTCTGGCTTGAATCGGTTGAAATAGATGACCCACAGCATTCAACAATTCGCTGATCGGTCAGCAGTAAATGATGTCGCATGAAGCCAGAAAGTTATGAGCAGACTCAACTTCGTGATTACGCATATGCACACGCGTGAGGTATATAGCAGCACATTTGCCTCTTCCGATAGTCGAATTGTTCATTAATTACTAGGTCGCACAGTCGCATAAACAGTTCACGTATAATTAGAAACGAGTACGTTCATGAATGGTAGAACCACAAATGTTTGTATAGTAACAGTATCTCGAGAGAAAAAATGATACTGCTTCTTTATAGAAGAGTCGTAGCCTTCGAGGCGACAAACCTTCGATATATATGTCAGTGTAAATATTACAATCATTACATGAAAGTGAAAATAGTCAAACAGCAAAGCTCGGAACAACTCGTCGCGTCTTTTTTACCCCACTGCGAAGTGAAGCAAAGCGATCATCTGTATTTCTACACAGTGTATATATATATATATATATATATATATATATTCAGTTTCAAATGGATGCGTCTCCGTAGTGCTGGACCCGTGTTATGTTTTGGTCATTCGCGTTGCAGTTATGAGAGTTCTCACACCTGTCACATGCATCCATTCTCCTGCTCCCCTGCCGTCTGTTTCCACTACGCTTGCCCCGTTCCCGATACCTAATGAGTGTTTCTGTTTATGCAGAGCGAAGCACCTTGTTGCATTTGACGGTGTTTCGAGTTCACTTAACACATCTACAGTATCGTAGGTTTTCACTGATTGATCACACTGGCGGCAATCGGTCGCCGCTGTTGTCCTTCTCCCATTCGCTACAGGCTGCCTTCATGAGTCACGTACGTTAGCCACTCGACGGTGTATTGGTCTAACACCTAATTTCTTATCAGTCACGCCTCTATGGCCCCTGCCCCCTTCACGACGCAGCGTGTATATCGGTACCGTATCGATAACCTTTTCTCAAAGCCGGGGCTGGATCAGTCAGATCTACGAACGAACGCAGGCTAAACGTACTGTCATTCCGTATGAGCCAATTGATTCAATTAGCTCAAGTATTTCCATTCACTTGGATGTATGGAATCCATTCGGTTCGTTGCATGGCGCATACGTACGAAACGTTATAGAAGGCCCATTGTTATCACACTATGCAGTCTTTTGCTATTCCAGCCATTATACTTGATAAATAACCCATACGCTTAGAGTTAGAGCCGGGTCCGCGTTCGTACGCCATTCGTTAGTCTTGTACACCGACTCAGACAGACCAGTCTTAGGGTGAGTAATACGTGGTCGAATTATCACTCTTCTTATATATGTATAGAGACATTAGCATATATTTTTACGGATATAAGTGCCACCGATTTCATACTGGGCATGTATCATTACTATCTTAATATGTTTATCTCAGGACGCTCCAACACGCTGTTCGGATAAGATTTTAGCGTTTTTCTTTTTTTCTGCCATTACAATATGTGGTAGTGATCTATATTGTTAGATTGATCATTTTGACCGTAAAAATATGTATCATACGATAACAATAGTAATCACACTAACAAAGTTACTTATCATACGAAAGTAGCTATGTCTAAATACATCGATTGGTAGCATAATTAGACATTTACACATACTAATTATATTTTATATATCTATCTGCTGGTATTAGTAATCGGTCCTGCTCATTCGACGCAATCGTCACCTACCATTGTCAGTCATATTTATTAGTGTCAGGGTCCTATGAGCCTTTTTTCTCGTTGACCTTTAGCGTATCCTGAACGGGTTGTGGCGCAGCAACCAGCGACATGAACGTGTTACTGTATATATATATTAAATATGTATGATGTCTTCAAAAGAGACTAGCCTATTTACGCAGGTAATAGGTTGATTGAGAAGATGAAAATCAGCCGCAAGAATAACATTACCAAATTCATCTAAAAGTATATCTTCGGAGCGACGGAAGGGTCCACGGTTAGGGACGACTGGTTCAAGACAGACTGCTTTTCTTACCTAAACATGATTATGGTCTAAGTTAAAATTACAAAGAGATATATATAACGTTAGTAATATAGCATATTGGGAGATCAATAAGAATTTGACTCTACCATGGAGCGTATTCCGATGAATATATGCAAAACATATATTATATATATATATATATATATATATATATATATATATATAGCTTTTTAAATGTGTACTTTTGTGGGTCCATGCGGTTATCGTTTTTTAAGGGAAAACACTACCACACGTTCTACCAGAGATCTTAAAGATTTGGTAAATGCAACAGGTAAAAGTGCTGTAATTCGTTTCCTGAATGAATTTACGTTAACCAGTGGAGCAAAAATAACGTCTATTTTCTCTAGTACCCACCCCCCGCCCCCCGGCCGAAAATGTAGCTGAAAAAATCTGGATGGTAGGTCGGAGGCTAGACTGTTTACAACCTGTTATGGCAATCACGTAAAAATTAAGCAGAGACTAATTGGCCATCAGTTTCTACTTAAAGAGTAACCCGGACTAATTCAATAACACAAGATCCTATTTTACGCTTATATTCCCACGACATCTCCACGGAAAACCTATCATCTCATACATACATATATGATGTTCGATAAATTTTATATATCATAATTTCTCACGTTTCGTGTCTTTCAAGACTTTTGCTTTTTCAAACGGAGTTTTGTGTGTTTGTGTGAGTGTGTGTGTGTGCGTGTGTGTTAGCGTGTGTTGATTTGTACTATCCGAAAACCAGCCGACAAGTTTTTGTTCAGTTTGAAAGTACACAATGTGAGGATATTTACTCTTAATGTAGGATGTCTACCAGCACCGTACCAACAAACATGTCCTTTAGGGTTAACCAAAGGCTAAGTAGCAGTTTAGCTAAAAAAAAAAAGAGGGAAAGTTAATCGTTCTGTTAACTCTAAGCCGGTTGCCCCATAAGACATAAATCTGGTATTTTATCGTGTCTTGTATTATTTTTTTAGGATTTTTTTCTACTTAACGTGTACTGTGTTATACGTTACCTTCCGAAACGTTCAGCTCAACAGTAACCCAATATAAACAGTGGTAAACAACGAGAAGACAAAATAGTGGTACTCCTCCACGTGTCAATGGCCAATTTGCTCGTATCGTTAATGACGGGTGTTAACCAGCAGTTTAACAGCGGGCACGAGTTGGAACTTAATGGATTCGTTGCCAGTGTTTTCTCTATGTACCTATTTTCATCAATTCCCATTTACTGTAGTGGTTACTTAGGCTCTAGCGGCAAGGACTCGGACTCAACTAAGCGAGTGCCGGCCTTCGACTGGTTCGTTCTGCTCTGACATAGTTTAGGTCTTTGTTGCTGTTGTCATTGTTGTGCTCATTAGTCGTACAAAGGCATGATGAACTTCAACAAACGTTTTCATAAGGACGAAAAATACCACTGTTGGGCAGGAACGGTACGTGCAGTTCGAATGGATTTTCCATTCTTACGAAGTTCTGCATGTTTGGTTACCGCTGGTGGAATTGAAAAAGAAATTGCTAAAAAAAAAAAAGTATCAAAAAGTCGTGTGTAGGAAGAATGAAAAAATTGCGTTTGTATACAAGCAGCGTGTAGTTTGCGTTTTGTCGTTGTTTTTTGGGAACTTCAAAACGTGGGTAAGTCGTTTGATTGTGACTATGTAATTAGGTTGTGACAAGTTAAGGACAGATATATAAGAGATAAGAGAATAACTGGTCGCGTTCATAATCGATTGTTTATGCATGAGACGCAGTTTTTATTCATTTTGCCACGTTGGTAGCGTTAAAAAGGCGACGAAACCAAGTTGGAAACACTGTGTTCGAGCGTCAGATGTAGCAAAGCGTGTTTCATGCAAAGTTACTCGACGTCTGGCCTGAGGACATTTTTATCTTTACAGAGTACGGCTTCGCCAGATCGTTGTTGTTTATGTGAATCTATACGGATCAGTTTGACTGCGGAACTTGGCACCCAGCGAGCTGTTCAAATGCTCCCACACAAATCGTATACTAGTAGAGGCGCAAAAAGAAAAACAAAAAAGTATCAGAAAGTACTAGCAGCAGCAGCAGCAGTAGTAGTAGGTAATAATATTTGCAATAGACACAGTATGTACAGATTATTTACCATGTTCGACTATGCAATGTCATCTTTAGCAAGGTGCCAAATCTGTTCGCGGTGCTGTTGCTCGTAACGAAGGAACAGCAACCTAGCTGGCACAGTTATTTCTGAATGACATTATTATTATATTAGTTCTTATCAAGGTAGATACGCGCACGGTTATTGATCAGTTCATTGTTAGTTACTTAATGTTTATTGTTGTTATTGTTGTTGCTGTTGTTGTTGTTGTTGTTATTGTTGTTGCTGTGCTATTTGGCTCTTCATAGTGTTATCATCACTATCTCTGGGGTACACAAGTTTACATACGTGTACAATCATTACTACAGATGTATACAGATACATGCCTACGCCTATATAAAGTTATACGATAATTTCTATACTGAAACATGTATCTACACGTAGGAAATCTCCAGTCGAGTGTGGGCCGTCGAGCGTTATTGCTATTACTATTTCAATTATATAATAGCTTTGTTGGGGATACAAGATACGGGACGAGTTTCATTGATCGATCAAATTGGCTGACTACCTTAGCTACACTGTACATATCGTCATAGGCGTGTACGATAAAGAAAGCTAGCAGTAGCAGTAGCAGTACCGTTATAGAGATTATCCTAGCCACGGCTATCTGAAGAACAATCATACTCATAAGCTTCTAATCGTCAGCCAATACAGACACGAATGCATCACCAAACACTATTATTATCAGTCGAGGGGATAACTAGCTATCAGGAACTTTAGCTAAATCCAGTTAGAGCGATATGCGTGTCGTTCTACTGCTCAGCGAAGAAAAAGCACGCAGTTAAGTTTTGCCTATTCATCTAGCATAGGACATGCAACCGAGCATTACGATTTCTTTGGGTTTCAACCGAAGACACGGACAGAACGCAGCGTTGCTCCTATATCATCTATCCTCCCGTACACCAGGTCCCTCTGTATACTATATACATTAATTACATGTACGTTCGTACATATATACATATGTAAACTGAAGTACACAGGTTTGCGTTAAATTTTTACCGTTTGATCGGTTCTTGCATTCGTATGCCAGCTCGTCATCGACAGTGCAGCGGGCTCCACGCACATCGTAGGTGGACAAGATGAGACAGAATGGTAAGCACCTAGAATCAGGATATCAGACCCACAAGAATACTATTCATAGTGGTCTGTCAACTGTTGTTGGTACATGCGCTTTACGATATCGTAATACATTCGTGCAGTGATCTCGCGCTTACCAAGTGAAGACCAGCCCTGCACAAGTCCCGCCCAGCTGGAGCTTGTCTGCCCCAAGACAAAACGCCCAACTACGTAAACGAAAATCGTCATTTATCTGGGCCTGTAAAAATTAACTTTTCTCTCTTCTACTAGCGAATAGGGAACTATTCCGTTTCAAGACGTTGATGCGTCGCGGCAAACGGCGCGCCAATATTTGCATCGTTACCTAGCTACCGACCCATTCGGCCTGTTCGGCAAATCAAGATGCTTAACCAAGGCATTTGGGCTTGGCCTGCACCCACTACGCACTTCCGATGGCGTCAGCGAATTTACACATAATGGCTGTAAACTGCGATTGATAGCTTTTTCTTCTTTGAACGGCGTTACCAGATAAGGTTTAGAAAGCAGTCTGAGCCTATCTTTCGGCCGCAGTTAAACTCAGTGTGGCCTCAAAACAAAAACTAATGTACCGTGTGTCCCCAATCGTAATACATTGGTTTCACTATTTATGTAGGACCTATTTGCAACTACAGACATGATGCTTCGAATAAACTGTTCCGCTTAAGCGGTTGCTGTCACAGCCATTAACAATATTTTTAGGAAATCCACTATTAGTTGGAACCCTAGTCGTGGTGTAGGTGTAATCATGGGTAGGTAACCACGCGTCCGTAAGTCATATCCTGTCACACTATATACATACAGTATTCGTATACGGAGTTACCACTTATACATGCCTGTTGTTTCATCAAATCCTAGATTTATCAAACAAAAGTTCATCCTCAGTTGATACTGGGGTCGACATCAAGAATCCGATGATTTTACCCTAAAAAACCTGGTGGTACTAAACGGTTTCAGGTTTTAGCAGGACCAATATCTTTTTTCCATATGGATAGGGTAACCTAATGCATTCAGATTTATGTATTTTCCACACGGATGCCAATATTTAAACAGGGTGGAACATTTACTAAGCTATCCATGAACGCAGCGATACCTTCATTTATCTCATGTTCGATTCGATTATGAAGCTAAAACGATGATCATATTATCCATGAATTGAATTCGATGACAAGCAAAGCAATGGACAAGCGCTATAGTCATCGAGCGTCAGAATAACAGCAAACAACATCAACGAAACGGTTGCCCTACGTGCTAAGCATCCTGTAAAGACCATCAAAACCCATCGTCGTTAGTAAAAGTTCTCCACTAGTCGTGCCCAAACGACCCACAACACATGTGCTTCGAGCAGCAGAAGATAGTTACTAATAATCTATAGAAACTCTAATCCATTGTATGTGTATTAATTATATCGATAGGTGTACAAATCGCGCCCGTTTACACAGAAGTTAAGCAAGAGATTCACACAGGATAAACCACAAAATAACCCATTATTTACTTTGTGGCAAACTTTTCTTTTTTCTTTTTTTTTTTTTTTATCATGACGCATTTTCGGCTAATCTATGCTTGCATATATATTTGTGAAAACAGCTTCTTTTTTTTCTTAGTATCATAGCTGGCGGATGTAGATGTTTTCACGGTCGGACGATTTCATAATGGGCTAATACATTACAGGTGTCAACAAAACTGTCTTGAGTTCATTCTCTGCTAAGGCTGGATATATGAACGAGACTCGATTAGATATATTTCTATTATACACTGCCGGGTATATGGTTATAGGTTCATACTGAACTTGGCTATTTGCGCGTGACAGCCTCATAATAAATGTCCCAAGACTCCACCGGGTGCCTCCTCTCGCAGCAAACTGACCTTTCGACATGCCCACTTAATCTGTGAGCTCGTTTTTGTGTTGGCTGTTAGAAGAGATAACGTTGATTAAGGTAAGAGAAACACTGAAAGATGACTGAAATGTTTGTATTTTATCGATGAAAGTCTACATTCAAACAGTGTTCATCCACACGTAAGATCGGATGGTGTGAACTTCAAGTCGTAAATTTTTTGTGAAGATTGTCTTATTGTGGGTGGGGGGGGAGGGAGGGAGGGGGTCGACCCATCAGGAAACGTTAATCTTCAGAGCCTGTTTCCGTCATTTTATGCATGTGCTCTCTCTGAAGAGAGTGCCACGTCCACATACGCCAGAGTTCATCAAAGCTAGTCTAGTAAGATATCCAATAATTATGAACAGGTCGAACTTGTTACGATATCGTCATTGCTTAGCGGATATGTGCGTACATGTATCAGATTGTTTGGCTCTGATACGTGCCGCGCGTCGAAAACATAGTTTTGTCATTTTCTTCACTTGAAATACACAGGATTCTCAACAGACCCAGCAATACCTTTAAATGCTATGGGTAAAATTTCATCTAACGTTTATGGTTTAAGGACGTATAATTATGTCTTTGCGCATATCTCTTTAATCCGAACCTAAATGGATAGTTATCATACTCTGTCGAAGAAGGGTGCTTGCAGTTACAGTTTTTGTTGTATTTATAGCATTTTTATTTTAAATAAAAGTAGTACAAAATATTAATTTTTCACATAGTTAAATACAAAATCGTTATTTCGCTTCTATGAAATAAGTATAAAGGTAAAAAGTAACGTTTGCTTAACTAACTAGTTTCTGCCCGGCTTCTGAGTTTAGCGGAGAAGCTCAGATCCGCATCGCCATTTTACGCTTTGCATCAGTAGAAACTCGCATTTCTGGAAGCGGTCACGGAGAGCTCGTCGCTGGCTCTGCCTTAATCATAGGTAGATTATAGTTTATCTTATATTTAAAGCATTGCGTTATAGAGACATTATGAGCTGTTAAAATAGCCAATAACACCTATTGAAAACTTTCACGGGACACCGTCATGGCAGGCCTGATACTTATGTCATCTTTACTCTTAGAGTAAATTCTTCAAGTAAATAGTAATATTTAAATAACTCCCTATTTACATGTACTTTATAAATAATTGTATAGCAAGTATCGTTACTATCGTTGAAACTATATCTGCCTTTTTAGCTTTCAAACTAAGGTTCCTCGAACTTCACGCCTATTCAGTGATATGGGCCTGTTATTATTCCAGTAATACGGAACATCTTGATAAATGTTTTGTTTAGTGGGTTCTACAAATAATTACTTGACTACTAATTACTAAATACTTGACAAAATGCTAGTATATCATTTTATAGGAGTCTGCCTCGTCCAGCCTGATTCCCTATTATTATCATTATTATACAAACCCTTTTCTTTCACCCCTTGTTCTCTTCTCGATCTCGAAGAGTTTTACTTATGGGCCTACCCATGCGCCTGCTTTATTGACTGTTTGTTGTTCTGTTCTACCCTAAACTGTGTTGTGACATAACATCGTCTTTGTTCTGTCTAAATGGTATATTTCGTTGTGGGCGCTGTACGAGGATGACGTGAGCATATCCCTGTAACTGCCCCTTGCTTCCCGAATAACTTTTTGATACGGTTGTTCTTGATAATGTCGCCCTATGTTGCCGTTGTCAACAAATTTCGAGCATTCAACTTGGTGTGGCATAGCATAACACAATATGGTCACTTTTTTTTTCTTCTTTAGTTTTTCAGTTATTTTCAGCGTTATTAATATTATAAAAATAGCAAAATAGTTCACGACTCCCTCGTTATGTCGGGACTTTTCATCTTGCCATGTCGTTCTGTTTTTTTTTCGTTCCTCATTACCTTCATTGGCCTTTTTCACACCTAATAACAGTTAATCAGCTATTATTAATCTACATTTTTACATACATCAGTTCTTCTAGAAGGCGATAGACAACTGCTTACATGCATGAGTTGTTATAACATTCAAATAGTATGACATAATTAAGATCAGTCACGCCTGATGCCGGGCCCATGTCCTATGACTCTCATTTTTGAGCCTGTTTTTTACAGTTATTGATCGTTCGCGCGGTCTGCCACTTCGTTCGCCAGTTTCATTTGTCGCAATTGCCGAAAACAGTTGTGCCGTGACGTTCGTATCGTTGGCTACGTTCGACCACCGTGTGACACGATCTGCAACCAGCGGCTTGTAACGTCTAGGTACATGTGACATAATAATCTATGTCTGGAGCGGTATGGTAGAAGGGAACGTAGAAAAGCCGAACTATTGTTATTGTATCATTAGATGTCTCTTGCTTTTGCTGTTCATATCGTTGATCTGACCTTGAAGCTTTCCAATCGTATTATTCAATTTTTTTTTTCAATTTGAGGTTTTTTAGTCGGAAAGCGCACGAACCCTTTCCTATTCTATCCATTCCCGATATTTGCCCTTATATCTCATGATGCTAAACAACGTCCGCTTAATATGCGAAACTTATGACAGATTAACATTCAGCCATCATTATTTTGTTTAGTTAGTTAGTGTTGTTTTAGTTTACCTAAATTTATTTATAGATCTAACCTGATTCCATGGATCTGACAACCATGGTCCTGGTGACGTTCTGTTTCAAACCCCACTTTGACGGCAGTTCTTCCTCAGAGAATAGACCAAAAAAAATCGTATATTTATTTCTTGCCCCTTCCCGATGTTCTCCACTCTTATTCCTCCATTCTCCACCTTAGGTTAACCACTAGTCGAATAACACTTGCCACCTACCTACTGATTATACTCATCTCCTTCGAGAACGTTACATCTGAAACTGGCATGTGAAGTTATATGTTTCGTTAACGGTAGGCACCATATAATCTTACCGTATAATAGTCAATCATCTCATTCATTGGCTTCGGACGTCGCCTTATGGCGTTCTCTGCACGACTTACCGGCTCCATTTTCTGTTGCTTTTTGCCCGTTTCAGGCTAGCTCCTGTTGCGCGTACGCGTTCGCTTTACGACTGTCGCCCTTCAAAATAGTGGAACAAAACTCCCTAGTTTAACCTCAGGCCATACGGCAGTTACCATACGTGACTAGTTCGATAAAAAAATGGTAATGATAACAAGCGTAATGATCAATCATAGTGTCGTAGTAATATCAATGAATGGCGGCAGCAACTCTAAGGACAAGAGTGCCTAATATATTGTAAATTATCGGCAGACAATGGAACCATTTTCATCACATGATATTCATATACTGGTGGTATTGACCTTTCGATCGCTGAATGACGACTGCAAATAAAATACCGCAGTTTGTTTAGTGGGCGTCGCTGGTAGCCACTAGTTCTGACGTCAAACGATTCCCATCACCGGTAGCCGATACGTATGTTCATCGCTGTCGATTACGTTGTTTTTCGGGTTGTTTCTGCACCTCGTCCTTCTGTTCTCTTCGCTGTATGTGTTGTTACGGTTGAAGTAATATATCTGCCTAATTACTTGGTTATCGACATTATTCATATAGATCTAATAGCAATATCATGGTCATAATATAATAATAAATCTATTATTCAACGTGATCCCGTATGTGGGATCCCGCTTTGGTCATCGATCACTGGCGTTTTTGTTTGCTATGTTAATAAATGGCCGTACCCCTGTCCCTTGCTCAGATCGTGTATCTTGTTTGTTCACTGTTGGCGAAAAGCAGCGAGAGATCGCAGTCTCCACCTTGACATAGCTGAAAAGAATCAACGAATTCTTCTTTGTCCTTCCATTGATTCATAAGGAAAAAGCGCCTTTGAAGTAATTGTTTATTCTCGTATTTACAGACAGGGAAATACACGACGTAAATCGATAAATTGGTATAGAAAACAGCGAGTGATTGGCAGCTATTTTAAAGATGCCATGTAATTTCGGTCGGGACAGTACATTGCACGTAAGCACCTGCTCTCGCTCGACGCAAGGCCCCGTGCATATTCTATGATCCATGAGAATATATGTGATATTCTGCCCGGCTTAACGTTATCATGACGTGCAGCGCAAATGATTTTCAATTAATGTGACGGTTATTCAGCTCTCTACGCCGCTATCGTCATCAATTCAGTCACGATCCTTCTCGTGTTTTCGCTTCATTCACGTTTATCTCTCTGTTTCGCTACTATAGTTATACTGGCGAATTTCCCATAGCATCTCTATCACTGTATTATGTGGACGTTATGCTTATTACTACTAAAAATGTAATTATAATTAGCCGTCATCAATCTTAATCATCAGCAACCCGCGGCGACGGACATTTGAAAACAATTATCGTGACCCAGTGTTGTTAAATATGTTCTTGTTCAACCAAGAAAAATAACCGGACGATGTTTGCTTTTGTTATTGTTTTTATGTTGCGCCATCGTGTTTAGTGGCGTTGTCATTCCGCCCTTTATCGTGGCCTAACAGGGGAGACGCAGTGATGCGTTTTTTTTTTTCTGGGACGTTATCTCTGCCATTTCTATGTTATCTTTAGTTTGTTGCTGTTATTCTTATTATACTTGTTTCTGTTACAATAGGCCTAACAAGTACATAGTCTAGGCTCTGCCATTCATGGGCTATGCTACTACAACTGTACGTCTCCCCCCGAACTACTGATGATCTGACCACCATTGTGGCGGTTCCATAATCCGCCGCCATCACTACCTCCGCCGGTGGCAGCAGTTGCTATCGTGCGCAAGCGGTCGGTTTCCTTGGGTTCCTGCCCTTGAACTATACTATCGTCCGCTGCGACCTTGCCCAAATCGGCACTGATCGCCCTGGCCAAAAAACCCGTCCTGCCCGTATCGTTTATGCTCAACTCGGTGACGGATCCATCTCCGCCAATCCCGCTACCGCGAAAGTCCCGCTGTTGCAGATCTTGCTGCTGGTATTGAAGATCTCTGGGCTGCTGTTGGTGTGACTGGTACTGGCGTCGAAAGCTTCCCGTGGCAACGTTTTCGCTAGCACAGACATTGTGAGACATCTGTGAAGGGCCGTGGTTGTGTCGAAACGATCGATTGTAATTCGGCGATGCGCAATCGCTCCCTGTCGATTTGACCGACTCGTTGCTACTTGTCAGCGTATTCCAATTAGGTGTCTGGGTGGCAGCACAGCACGAGGCGAGCGCCGTAGAGGATTTCGCTGCCAGGCCGTCTATGTTCGCACCTAATTGCTGGTTAGCGCCTGGCAGGTATTGTTGGTTAGCCAATATGCCGTAGTCGATGACACCGCTAGAATATCCGGTCCCGCCGAACAGCTCTAGATCGTCGGATTGCGTCGCGCACTCAACGTGTCGCCTTTGCATTGACTTGAGCATTGCACCGTAGCGCTGCTGTACCATTCCTGTGGACGGCGTTGACAGGGAACGACAGTAGAACACGACAAAAAACGTGTTAAAAAAATGCGCAGTTGATGAAAATATGTGAGCAGAACGTTACTTGTTACTAACAGCTGATATTAGGTAACCGGTGTAGGGTCTTGCAAGCGGCGGCGCTGATCGTTCCGGTTTCCTAGTCCCTTCCGGCGAAAGTGAGACGCTCCGTAATTTAAAACACATCGCACCAATTACGTCTTTCTTTTTAAAAACATATCCAATCTATTTCCGGGAGATGAAATTGCATTAAAGCCACGGGCTCAATGGCCTTCATAAATATTTGATTTTTGCGCAAGCTTTTATGATTGCATCATCCCAATAGACGTGGGGGGCATATAGCAGTGGAACTCGGCACATAAACATACAGATATCCACATAAATAAAACTCTAGAACAATGGTTGGGCAATGGATGAAGCTAAAAAAAACGCAGCTCCATATGAGAATACGCTTTTAAGCGAAGCTGGCTTGGAATAAGTGGCTTGTAACTTCAACTATGGAACCCAAAGAGTTTCCGATAGATATAAACCCTCAGTTACCTTTTAAACACAAACATTTTGATTTTAAAATTATATATATGTGGACATAGCTTCGACACGTGCACTGTAGACACTTTGTCCTGCCTTTGTCAACATTTTGAGTCTAAATTTGTGAATGCATGCTTTGCATCCATAGGTCTATATAAATTGTAGTTTTCGAATAATCGCAGTACAAATTATGCGCACTGACTTTTCCTCCGTTAAAAATAGTTACGAAACATATATGTGCAGCAGATAGCGAAAATCCTGCGTAGCTCTGCCGGCAAAGACGAGCATAAACCACTCAGCCTGCCGCTGTTTGCATCCGAACCAACTCATTTCTTCGTCCTAATAGGGTTCAAATGATGGCGTTTCAAAGGAAATAGGAGAAAGAAAGGCGAAACGCAATAGGATAGCGGATTTACCATCGTCGCTGTGTTTGTAATATGACAAAGTACGAAACGGCAGCAGCGATGATGCTAATCGTGACTTTAAACAAACAAAGAACAAACTAAGAACACGGCAGTGACGACGAACGAACCCTCGGCCATTCTAGCTGAAACCCGAAGAAATCAACATCATGTCAAAGGCAACCCAACAGCGCGCAGCGGCCAATGGCAAGTGAACAAAAAGGCCAAGTCTATCAGCAATGACTGCTCGTTCATTTTGGTCTCAAGCTGTCCCGGCCTGACGCGGACCACCTGCGGTCCCCGAGCAGGGCCCACGGCTCGTCTCGCAAGCCCAAGTTCCACACCAAGCGTGGTCTGTTTCCTTCGAATCCTGCAACCGCTTGATCCCCAGTACATTCCTGTGTATCCTCGTTTGTCAACGCTTGCTTTAACCATCTGCCTTGTGACACTGTCAGGTACGCTATGAAGCATTAGGGACCGAAGCACAGGCCAGACGGACGACCAAACAATAGGCCGCCGTAACGGTAGAGCAGTTGCCAATATTACACTAGGTTGCTATAGAGAGCTACTCAAAGGTCGCCACTGGCAACCTCTAACAACGAGACAGCAAGTAAGTAAGGGTTGTACAACGGCTGCAGAACCGGCCCAAACGGGCATTGCGGCAGTAAAGCGATTCGCGCAACATCACAAACCATTAAACTAAGCAGGTCATTTGTGTTTCATGCTTTTCCCGAAAGATGACTAACCTATTGATCGCGTAATGACCGAGATTGGTCAATTAAGAAGTCAGCAAACACGTACATCTCTGCTATTGCACTCACCGACTGGTTGTCGTACGTTCTTCTCAGGGTGCAACAAAATGATGTAGAGCTTTGGCGCGAACATACAGACAAGCGTGACACTAGCCGACAACGAGATTGAGACGCACATCACTGTAACGCCGATGGCCAATTGTGACGAACCCGGGCCGGACACAGTAAGATATAGTGGCACGAACGATAGCCAGATGATACATGTCGTGTACATCGTAAAGCCAATATATTTCGATTCGTTGAACGCTTCAGGGATTGCTCGAGTAAGCACTGCGTATGCTGTACACACGCAAATCAACAGGGCCGGATACGTGAACGACACTAGGCACCATGAAGATCCTACACAAGCGGAAGCGCAAAGAAATACAGGCGTATGTTATAGAAATTTAATCGAAAATTACTTGCTATGAGATGTTAGTCACTATGATCATAATTATAGTCACAGCGTGTAGTATCACGTTACTATTAGTTTAATGTAGGACAACTTCCAGAAACTATAGTAAGTTGTGTCGCAATTCAAAACAATTCTATCTCTAGGTGTGAATTCGCCAAAGCGAACTCGCTATGCTAACGTGACTTTATATATACTTTATAGGTTAATTGCTTCGGATGTTTTCTGCAAAGTAAGATTCAATACAACGATCATAGGAAAAGTAGATAGCTAACTATACGCACCCCACGCCATTCGCAGTGTTCCTTCAAAATATGTGCTCAAGTTCAATTTAATCCGTGTGGTTGGGTGTGACTTTGCGGGTGAACTTATGAAACAACGAAAGCTTACAGGGCAGCACAAATTGCACACGTCAGGCAGGAAAAGACAAACACTGGCAACCCTTTCCGTAATTAGCTTTATTTCTCATTGTGGACCCAGCCGGGGCCATTATGACGACGTTTGATGTCTATCTATATTACATTGTGGTCAGATGTCATGCGCGGGGCTCTTAGAGAAAGAACAGGACTACGGCCCACTTAGCCATAACCTTACTTGGATGGCTCATAACTCATCTATAGATACTGTAAGTAACAGGTTATAAGAGTAGATTGTTCCACTGCGATTTACTCCACCCAGTGGCTTTTAGTTAAGTGCACTATGAATGGGGCTAAGAAAACGAATATTACGACAGTCAAAGAAGCGGTCCTTTATGGCCACAAATCCCTTCTATACTCCCAGGTATCGTCTCTTACATTAACCATTCAGGTAATAAACTGGCCACATATGACAGATGACCGTAAGGCAACGTTGAGGGTTCCGCCACAGAAGGGCTGATTTTCATTTCGCCGTAAGTAATCCTATCCTGCTACGACACTTCTATAAAAACACCAACCTTCATTCACCGATCCCGACAGCCTAAGGTGCCAAACTTAGGCCATCAGAATGTGATGTGATAATATTTAATCTTTTTTTTTGATAAATAATTACCGCATTCTGAATCGAATTTTCCGTTGAATAGCAATGCTACCATAGATATCCATCGTTCAGTTGGTCCTATAATAATACAGGCCATCGACAATATCTTGGTACGTGATTATTTTTAAATAAGCATTTTATCCGTGGTCACTGCACTTTTTCCTATTCAACCCGCTACCAATGAAAAATGGTGTTAAGGCCGTTACGCCTCTAAACAGAACTACCCATTGAAATACGTTAAGAAAACTAGTCCTTCGACTGCGATACGGGTTAGTCGTTTTGAAGCTATTTCTTTTTTTATACTTGCATCCAGACATACTTGACTATTGCGCAAAGTCATAATGGGGAGACCGTGTTTTCCTACACCAAATATTTACGGTATTATATAGCTGTAATAAAGATGGTGCAAGGCAGTATTTTTGAGACGACCAATTAATTCTGCTGGCAGGCGAAACAAATGTGCGGTACTGAAGGTACCGTTGGTTGAAGAAAAATAGCTCAAAGATGCGCTCATATGAATTGTTCAATATATATAGATCATAGAAATATTGGTATTATGAAATGGGGGTAATTCTGGGAAGACTTCCCGCAATTGGGAACGTTCTACTATCGTCACGAGACGCATTCATCCCTGTCCGAAACATCATTCAAACAGTTTAGGTTGAGACGCGATTCAAGCAAATGCAATACGGAAGAAGGCATGCATGGGGTTTCCCAGTTAATAGCATTTCACGGATCAAGATAACTCTATGTACATTACTTCATTCTGAGGCCCTAATTAATTGTATAAATTAATTGTTTAATTCGGTGATCAGAAAAATATTAAACTTATTGTTGAATGGAGCAAGTACTGGCGTGGGAATCCGCCGGGCTGCCAATTTGTCTGTACAACGTCAAGACAGCCTAACTGTTGAGCAGTCAATAGAAGTGTCGCGCTTAGCGTGTAAAATATCATTGTTCAATTGAATCGAACGCTGCATGCCGCATGATGAAAGACTGCGCGGTGACGTAGCGTTTATATAGTGATTTCTAATGCTAATATATGCGGCTACGTAGCTACATATTGATCTGTCGAAGAAGTACTGACCGCTTCTAAGCCGAAATCGATGTAAAGGTTTTCTGCAGTTAAAAACAATATAACCACACTAAATAGGTGCCATTTTGATCGACATTTTATCTGACTTCTGGTAATACCACAATCGCATCACTCTGGAATCCCGTCACCGGTTTCTTGGCAAAAAAAAATCATGATAGATCATTCTTGCATTCCTCCATTGAAATATCACCATGGAAGTTCTGCCGATGCAGAATTCGGGCTATACATTGAAATTTAAAAGTTCTTTCAGGTTTTGCTGCGTAGCTAGAGATGCACGTGGTCTAGCATTATCATTCTAGAAAACGATGCCTATTGAGTAGTTTTGACCCATTTTCTCAATGGCTTAACCGTGATCTTGTTGTTTATTCACAGTAGAAATTTAAATCAGTAAATTTTTTGCCGGTAGGCAGTCATGTATAGTGCATGACCCTTTTCCAGTACGTAGCAGCGCCTTCTTCGGCACCAGTCTGGGCTTTATCGAAGATTGTGGAATACGTTACCCTATTTTTCTATCAACCGCAATAAATATAACTCGACAAAGTTCTGCAAGTTCACATTCGATCGATTAAAATCGCGTACGTCAACCCAACATCGAGCTGTTTTTGTAGCGAGCTTCCGTTAAATTATCTAAACTCTGTTCAGTAGCTTTTTATAGCCGATATCGTGACCTTTTTTTAATGTACACAATAAGTTCATCAGCTTTTTTTTCTGTAACTGGTCGACCACT